GAACTCTAACCTCGATATGTTAGGTGTACCTTCACTGTTTTTTTTGTGGCGGTACACCGCCTAGAAGTGGTGAGATGCCTTGTGTGTCCCAGTGAGCCCCAGAGCTATGCCGGCGGGAGCCTGGTGCTCCAGGCAGGTTTGACCATGCCGGACAGGTCTGGGCGGGTGGGGGTCAGACCAAACGTTGTGCCCTGGTCCTCCAGGTTGGGGGTTGTTCGATGGGCTAACTACTCGTCCACGTAAAACAGTAGTTACAGAAACCGAAGCCACATCTGAAGTTAACAGTTTACCGGAAGAACAAGAACTCAACGTAGAAGTATGACTCTATACCACCAAACCACTAAAGAAGCTACAGAAACGACACCCATTCTTCAAACGAGGAAAACCAAGATTGAAGCCACAAGAAAAAGCTATGCTCTTTGGAACAAAGAACCTCAGAACACTATGGGAAGCAGGGAGTTATGCACAGACAATGAGGGAAATACAGCTCTGGATCCAGGATGAAACAATGCGGCAGGTGGAAAAAAGACAGCCTAAAGAGCCAGCTAAATCAAGGAAATATACGACATCAGAATCAAGGAGACATCATAGAGCAGACGATCGCATACAACATTGGAACAGACGCTTATCTGATTAGCCTAATCTTATCTCTGAATCAAGGTCCTTTTCAGGGCCAGTTAATTTTTTTTACCGTTCAAACGGATTGTGTTTATTGTTCTACTAATTTAATGAGAAGGTAAGATAAGTTTGAAGTGAGAAATATGTTGCTACGTACGTCCAGTTTTTAGATAATTTGATTAGAATGTTTAATTATCTGATGATACCCATGTCCAGTTTTTAGATAATTTGATTAGAACAATGTCCAGTTTTTAGATAATCTTATCAGAACAATGTCTAGTTTTTAGATAATTTAAGAAAAACAATGTCCATTTTTTAGATAATCTAAAGAGAACAATGTCCAGTTTTAAGATAATTTGATTACAACAATGTCCAGTTTTAAGATAATTTGATTACAACAATGTCCAGTTTTTTAATAATTTGATGAAAACAATGTCCAGTTTTTAGATAATCTGAGAAAAATGTCCAGTTTTTAAATAACCTAATGAGAACTATGTCCAGTTTTTAGATAATCTGATGTGTAAAATGTGCCGTTTTTTAATAATCTAATGAGATCAATGTACAGTTTTTAGATAATCTGAAGAGAACAATGTCCATTTTTTCAGAATAAATGTCCAGTTTTTTTTAAATAATTTTTAGATAATTTAAGGAAAACAATGTCCATTTATAGATAATCTGAAGAGAACAATGTCCAGTTTTTAGATAATGTTTATCGATAGGTATGTTTACAACGATTTCTTTACGGGTGAGTTGTTTTTTTTTAAAGTTATTTTTTTAGAAAATAGGTAATATCAATTCAGTTATGGTGAAAATGATGTCTCGTTTTTAGATAGTATGATTAGCATTAACAATTTGTATTTTATTTTTAAAAAAAAAAAAGCTTGTAGCAAAATCTTATTTTTAGTGCATAAAACTTGTAACTAGCTTGTAACTTAAAAAAATCTATTTTCAATGCAGATTATATTTTAAAACAGTGCTAGTAAAATAATAATGCGTTCTTGAGCGCCCGCGCATTTTCTATTAACGCTGAAAACAAATAAGAACAAGTACCTTGAGCTTATTCTGATGGCAGTAAAGAGCTCCAAACAGTTTCAGAAACTGTGCGGGTGACTCCATTCTGGCGGATGATTTGAAGAACCGCACCATTTAGGAAAGTGCGTGTACTCGTCATTCAGGCGAATGTTCCAGAGCCCCCACAGTGTAAAAACTGTGCGTGTGTGCTCCTACCTGAAGGATGTCTCAAGACTTTTTCAACACGACTTAGAAGAAATCATTTTCATCTTTTTTTTTCAAATTCATCAGCCCTGACGGAATGTTTATCGACAGGTATGTTTTCGACGATTTATTTACAAAAAGTAAGTAGAAAAGGGAGTAGATCTTCAAAGTAGTAAGTCTTCACAGGTAAGTATTTTTTTTTAAGTAAGTTTGTTTATTTTAAAAATAGGTAATATCAATTCAGTTTTTAGATAGTATGATTTTCCAGTTTTTAGATAATCGTTTCAGAAAAATGTTTTTTTTTATTAGCTGATGAGGAAAATGTCCAGTTTTTTTTAAATACTTACCAGAAAAGTGTCCATTTTTAGATAATCTGAAATATCCAGTTTCTTAGATAATCTTTTCAGAACAATGTCCAGTTTTTAGATAATCTGATCAGAATAAATGATCATATTATGAAAAAAAAATGTCCAGTTTTTTAATAATTTAATGAGAACAATGTCCATTTTTAGATTATATTGATGAACAATGTTCAGTTTTTAGATAATCTGATGTTTAAAATATGCCGTTTTTAATAATCTAATGTGATCAATGTCCAGTTTTTGATAATCTGAAGTGAATAATGTCCAGTTTCTTAGATAATCTTATCTGAATAAATGTCCAGTTTTTAAATAATCTGATGAGAACAATGTCCATTTTTAGATAATCCGATAACAATGTCCAGTGTTTAGATCATTTGATTAGAACAATGTCCAGTTTTTAGATAATCTGATGTGTAAAATAGGCCGTTTTTAATAATCTAATGAGATCAATGTCCAGTTTTTCAGAATAAATGTCCAGTTTTTTTAAAAATTTAATGATTAGAACGATGTCCAGTTTTTAAATCTAATGAGAAAAATGTCCAGTTTTTAAATAATTTAATGATAACAATGTCCAGTTTTTAGTTAATTTGGTTAGAACTATGTCCAGTTTTAGGATAACCTGATGTGTCCAATGTCCCGTTTTTTAATAATCTAATGAGAACATTGTCCATATTTAGATAATCTGTAGAGAACAATGTCGAGTTTTTAGATAATCTGATGAGAACAATGTCCAGTTTCGTAGATAATATTTTTAGAATAAATGTCCAGACTTTAAATAATTTTTTAGAATAGATGTTTAGTTTTTAGATGATCTGTCTGCAATGTCCAGTTTTTTAACATACTGAGAACAATTTCCAGTCTCAAGACTTTTTTTACAGGACTTAGACAAAATCATTTTTAATTTTTTTTTTTTTTAGATTCTGCAGCTCTGTCGAAAGTCTCAACGACATTTATGTTTTCAATGATTACACGTTTTTTAAGGTAAAAAGTAAGAAAAAATTTTAACAAGATATTTCGAGAAAAATGAGGTATATTTTTAAAGGAAGGAGTCTTCAATAGTGAGAAATCCATTATTAAGTTTATTATTTTATTTTATTATTAAGTTGACGTCCTGCTAAACACTGGTAACTTCGCCTAAAAAAACCTTCTTCGGCATCTATCCAGTCCCCAGCTCGAAAAAAGGAGGGAATTTTTCAGTCATATTCAAATTCAAACCTATAAAAATAAGAATCCCAATAAAGAATAATATTCCTTTAAAGATGAGTATTCTTTAAATGAGAATTCCTATAAGGGTGAGTACTTAGGGTATTCAAAGCGTATTCAATAAATTAGACAAATTAATTTTTTTAAACTTTTTTCTTTTATAGGTCCGAAAGTTCTGAATGAATATCCTAGTTCATATTAATTAAGAAGTAGACTAGATACATGTTTTAAACTTTTATTTACAGATCCGTCGGATGTAAAGAATATCCCGAATCTAATAACTTTTTAACTTTGTTTTTTCGTTTACAGATTTTGCAGTTCTGAATGATATCCCAAATCATATTCAATATGAATTAGAAAAGATAATTGTAATATTTTTTTTACAGATCTTGCAGTTTTGAAGACTAGCCCAGCTCATGTTAAAAACAAATTAGACATAATAATTTTAAACATTTTTCTTGTACAGATCCCGCAGTTCTGAGGGATATCCCACATCATATTCAATAAAAATTAGACAATATAATTTTTTTAAACTTTTTTTTTACAGAAACGGCGGTTTTGAAGGATAGCCCAAATCGTATTCAATAAGAATTGGACACGATAACTTTTGAAAACGTTTTTTTCTTTTACAGATCCAGTAGTTCTAAAAGAAATCCCCAATCATACTTAATAAGGATTAGACAAGACAATGTTTTTAAAATAGTATTTTTACAGATCCAGCAGTTCTGAAGGATATCCCAAAACTTATTTAATAAGAATAATACAAGATACTTTCTTAAATATTTTTTTACAGATACAAGGATATCCAAAATCATTTTCAATAAGAATTAGAAAAGAGATAATGTTTAAAACTTTTTTTTATACTTTTGAAGATTCAAAGTTTTGTAAGATATAAGCCATATTCAATAAGCCTTAGACAAGATATTGTTTTGTTAAGTTTTGTTCACACATCCAGCTATTCTAAAGGATAACCCAAGTCATATTCAAAAGCAGTAAGAATTAGACAAGATAACTTTTTTTTTTACAGAACCGGCAGAAGGAAATCTCGCCAAGTATATGGATGTTAAGCGATGATTTTAAACAAAATAAATTTAATTATGCGAGATGGGTATATATATATATATATATATATATATATATATATATATATATATATATATATATATATATATATATATATATATATATATATATATATATGCACAACTATAAACACTTTTCCTGTTGCATAATTAAAACTGTTTTTCTACATGCGAATATGCCTCTATTTTTTATTCTTCTTTAAATAAAATTGATGGTATACATTTAAAACATCTACCATATTATTTTCAACAAAAATCCGTATCAAGTTCTCCACATATCGCTAAAGATTCTTATGTAATATCCGGCGAAAATATTTTGCGGACAGAGAGAGAGAGAGAAGTGCGCACATGGGCTTTTATATATATATATGTATATATATATATATATATATATATATATATATATATATATATATATATATATATATATATATATATATATATATATATATCGTGAATATAGGCCTACATATATTATGTGTGTATGTATTAAATATGTTTACGTAAAAGCAATTGTTACCTTGAGGGTATCCAGCTACGCCAGAAGTCTGGAATCAGTCCTGTGTCCACCGTCGTCTCGCCTTACTAGAAGCACTGATCGAAATGTAATTAGGGAAAAATCAACGGAAAGATGAATATGGAACACTTGTTAACCTCTGGCAAACACGACTGAGTTATTCATCTGTGGCCGTCTGCCCCAACCAACTCAAATACGGGACCCAAGCTGGGTGATTTTATACTTGTTGGGTGCAACAGATGGGGTGGGGGGGGGGCAGGACTAATGACGTCATTGGATTGTTTACACTTGAGGTAGTGAGAAGTGACGAGGTGAGACTCTGTGTAAGAGAATGGCGTGTATGCAAATAAGTAGGCGTGGTTTGGTGTCATGCCTAAATAGGCGTCCAATCAAACAGCGATAAGGTGAGTTGGTGTGGGGGTTTTTTAAGTTATTTTTTTTCCAAGGCTCTCTTAAAACTGATCTCATCACTTTAAAGCGATTTAACAAAAATTGTAACCATTTGCGGCATCCGTTATTTTGTGGTTTGTGTAGAAAAACACCCCCACCACCCCCTCTCCTCCAACCCCCACTCCTCAATTTGATGTTCTTTAAACACCATAAAAATTCCTTTCTCCATTGTGACTTCTTCCACCCAACCTCCACTGTGATTGTCCTCCCCCCCTCACACCCACTATGACTGTTCCTCCCCCACCCCTTGTGACTGCCCATCCCCACAGTGATTGTTTCCCAACCCCCACCCCCTGTGACTTTCCCCCCACCCCCTGTGACTGCCCACCCCCACAATGACTGTGGTCCCACATCCCACCCCCACCCCCTATGACTGTCGTCCCACCGTCGCCCCACCCCACCCCGACAGTGACTGTCGTCCCACCCCCACCCCCTGTGACTGCCCCCCCCCCACCCCCCGTGACTGTTTACCTACCTTGTTAATCTAAATGACTCCACCAATCGCTCAACACGTATCCACCCAAATCTCCAAGAAATTCCCTTCTATCATTTTCTCATTACGCAAAGTTCCCCTTACACTAGTACAACCCTTCCGATTTCAATATTCCCCGGGAAAAAAATGTCCCCCCTTTTTATTTTCCCGTCATCCCTCTTGTCATTAAGACCACCAGCTGGTGTCCGGCCGTCAGCGCGCCCAGGGAATTATTGAATGGGCCAAAAAATCTCCATTTGGGCAAGTAATTTCTTCGACTGCCTAGCGTTTCACGTCATTGATTCTTGTGTTCAATGAAATCGTTTGTTGAAAAAGTTCTGGAATTGAGAAGCACACGAGGGGCGGGGGGCGTGAGGGGGGGGGGGTCGGTTTTATGCTAGTTCTTTAACTGTGGCAGATACCAAAGAGGAGGATTCTGGGAAGGGTGACGCTGTTATTTCCAGTGGGGGCCCAGGTTTTCTAGTGTGGGAGGGGTTACAGACTTTCTGTAGGTGTGCATTTCCATAACATTCGCGGTGATTCTCATGTTAGCGTGGGGGGGGGGGGGCGGGAATAAAAGAAAAATTGAAATCCAAAAATAAAAATGTTATTTTTTTTTAACTCGGATATTCGTCAGAATAAAATTGGCGTTATTCTGGAATATATTTAGATGAAGTGTACAAAGTTACGTCATGAGCCTGTACACAGTGTAACCACATACACTAGCTCACTTTGCTACGTCACTGAGCAATAAAGAGTGACGTCATAAAATAAACAGTGTCATACGTCACAAGGCAGTAAATGGGATGGGGTTTATTTATTTAATACATGACCAGAGACATAAAAAAAAAACATGACGCCATAAAAATGTTAACAAGCTATTAATATCCAGCCGAGTCAAAACACAACTAAAGGCGTGTCTTGCGATGTTTATTTCGTTAGGTCAGGATAAAAAAAAACTTGTAACACTAATCCAAACGATGATAAAATATAAAATTATGGCACCCGATAAAATTTATCGTGCAATATCTATTTTTTTAAATATAAAAATCGGAATGAAAAAAAATACATTTTTTTGCTAACAATTATGTGGCCAAAACAGTGCATAATCAGTAACAAAAGAACAATAAACTACTACATAAGATTTAACTTTTAAGCTTGAAACATCTAAAACTCAGAAGTACACATACCTTATTTTCTAGCAGAAGCGAAGTCCAACACACAAGGAAGTTAACTCTAAAGGTTTGATTATTATTTATTTTAACTTCAAAAACGATTGGACCTCAATAGGGGAAGTCACTCTCAATCACCTCACAGTTTACATTCGGCATAAGAGACAGAGCACTGCACATCCGATAAAGGATCACACGTCACACTGTCGCAAAACGTGCCACCCCTCGATGCTGTACAGGATATATTTCTTCCAGACTTTTTTCTCCGGGGGTGCACTTGAAATTTTCGGGGAGGGGGGGGGGGCGGACAACAATTTCCGGGGGGGGGGGGCGGACACTGTAAAAAGTATATATTTTCTATATAAATTCCATTTCGTTCGGGGGGGGGGGGGCGGTAGACTTTCTTCGATCCCCCCCCCCCCCCCCGAAGAGATGCCTGGAAGAAACTCTGACGCTACGTCACAATGTTATAAAGTTTTGGTTGCGTGGGGGGGGGGGGGGTGAATTGAAACCTTTGGAGGGGAGGCTCGCATGAAACTTTGGTGGGGGTAGGGGTCACTTGAAACTTACGCGGGGGGGGGGGGCACTTGAAACTTCTGGAGGGAGCGAGAGTCGCATAAAATTTTTGTTTGGTGGGGGGGGGGGAGGGAGCACTCGAATCTTTCAGGGGTGGGGGTTGAAGGGCTGACAATAATTTAAGTAAATATTTTGTATCTTAAAAAATGTATTTTATTTTTTCGACCGGAAAGGGGGTAAGCGATGGACGTATTATGGAAGAGGGCGGAGGGGGGGGGGCGGTCTAGGAGATGCCTGAAAGAAACACTGGGTAGACGTCACCAAGTCACGTCTGGCGTCATAAAACAACAACAGCAGTAACACCTCACGCGTCGTTGAGTCACGCAATAAATCGGTTGCTCACGTGACCATGCCAACACCAGGTGGCGCAGATATGCACGAGAATCAAAACGAGGCTCATATTTCGCAATTTTAAATGTAGGTGTGTTCATGTTTTACCCATGAATAATGTATCGTCTGGGTCTAGATTCTGTCGGTCTGGAATGTGAAATGTGGCTGGATTCAAATCATATACTTGTTTATTTCAGTCCAGTTGAAGTTTAGTGAGGTCGTTAGAACAGACTTTCAGGCAGGTGTTAGCGACGGTTGGTTTATGGTTGCTATGATTTATAGACCGTGTCAATGACTGTTAGACAGTGGCGATTTTTTTGTCCTATAGTGACTGTGGCGATGAATGCCTGAGTGTGACGATGATTGTCTGACTTTGGCTATTGTTGTGCGACTGTTGCGATCATTTTTGGAGGCGATAGTTGACTTATAAATCTTTATCTTACAATTCTTAAAACTAATGCTATTTCAAACAGACATTTAATGCCTCTTTCGCTTGACCCGTTTTGCATTCGCTTCTGTAACATTTTTTTTTTCATTTGGACTTTCAACTTTCAGGTCATATCATTAACTTAACGCCATCTTGTATCGCTAAATACAGACCTCATCTTGTAATTTGTATCACAGACACTAGAACCATCGCCTCACCCCCCCCATTAGAAATCACTTAACTACCTCTTGTTATTAAATTATATTTTTACAAAAAAAAACTAGGTAAACTTCGTCACTACTCAACTCAATAAAATATTTAAGTCAGTCCAGTGATGTTTAATTAAGTAACCAATCGACCAAGTTCGTCTCCCGGTCGTGAAGGAGTGAGCGACCAACCCTAGCAGACGACACATCAGACGACCATGTCCTCGAACTTCAGCATCGGTCACACCAGTACCGACCGATGGTCACGTGACCAAACATTCAAAGTCACGTGATCCCCGTATACAGTCAACATGAAATCGTCTATGGAGGATTAGGGGCGTGAGGACGACTTTCACAATCGTTCCTTCAAGGTCCACGAAAAATAAAGAAAGAAATTTTACGGGGTTTTTTTTAATCTCCTTGCTAGTTATCTAAATTTTATCTTAAACGATTTAATTTATCGTACTTTGTTAAAATAAAAGTTTAAAATTTCAACAATGAAATGGTGGTCGGTTGCCAGGATTCTATAAAAACACCAAATGTGTGGCATACTGACGGTAGACGATGTCAAAAAGTGACATTTGCCAAAGTGAGAATCTGTAAATAGGTGACATTTGTTGATGAGTAACATTTATATACAAATGACATTTGTTAATCAAAACATTTGTCAAAAGTTTACATTTAACCAAGGCCCGTATGGGTTCTTAATGGGGAAAGTAAAGGCGACTGAGCATAGTGCGGACCACACCATCCTTTGTACGCCGTGGTCAAAAAGCAAACTACTTCATCTGCCCAACGGATAGCTAGATCTTGAGAGAACTGTACTTTTTAAAACTTTTAACTAATGACAGATTTTCCACGAGCGATACCTTAGCACGATTTAAATTGTTTATTCTCTGGTCAATTTAATTCCTCATCTCATTGTTAACAGGTCAGTCTCGGTTTCCAGAAATAAATTCCAGAAAATCATAAACACTCGCACTGGACACCCAGTAGCGTCCAGTACTGGCCATTTCAAGGTTTAATAACCTGGGATCTTAATATAGTTGACTGAAATTAACACATTAGCATATTTTTGACATGCTCAGCTGTATGTGAGTGAGGGGGGGGGGGGCAAATATAGGTGTTTTTTTGGCACCTAGAACTCTTGAAGGTTTTATTGTAAGGGAGCAGCATGGCCGTGCTATAGAGCGGGAGATATCTAATCCAGTGGGTTTGTTTAGATCATTGGGAAAGTTACCCACAATCATGTGAACTACTTCACAATCCCTTATGGGCTCAGTGCCCACCACACCGGGGGCCCACCACACAGGGGGCCCACCACACCGGGGGCCCACCACACCGGGGGCCCACCACACCGGGGGCCCACCACACCGGGGGCCCACCACACCGGGGGCCCACCACACCGGGGGCCCACCACACCGGGGGCCCACCACACCGGGGGCCCACCACACCGTGCTGTTAATTACTTCAGGAGACTCTTTGGTGCTGCGAGTCTTGGGGTGGGGGGGTATACGCTATGTAAATATTTGACGTCATGCGTGAACTGAATTAGACATAGGCACAAAAAAAAATTAAATTTAAATATTTAACAATTTATTTCAATATAAATTGAATAATTTCTTACTGAGCAACATTATCAATTTTATTCGAAAATAAAACGGACGGAAAGATCATTATCAGAAGGAAAAAAAGGTTAAATAAACACAACAGAACTTGTTTTATTACATTTGTCATAATTAGCATCACTGCCCCTGCCCATGTGTACAGATAGTGTATCAACCTAAACAAGCCAATTAGAAGAATTTAGGTTGAAACCTTCGAACAAAAAACAACATAGACACGAGGTAGTAACGTTGAGCAAAAGCGTGTTACATTTTTGTGAACGTTAACATAAACTTACTGCAAGTATCACAGAAATTAGCAGTTGACCCCGTCTTCGTAACAAACCATTAACTAAGATTTAAAAAATGTGAAAACAACAGCAATAAATTCAAAAGTTAAATTTAAAACAAATTTGAAAACCTTAATTGAAAACTTCAAAATTAGCAAAGGCTTCTTATTTAAAATATTTCGCATTTTTTATTAATAAGCATTGCCTGTGTCAAACCAAACGAAATCACATACAGCATACCGAAGCATACAAGCAGGCTATGCCTACACTACTATACTGATGAAAGTATAACATGCGCAATTCGAACTGTGCACACTAAAAATAACTTTACACTCATGAGTATGTAAAGCGTTACGGGAATTCCCTCCATTCAGTCGGTGGTGCGTGCGTCTATTTTTAAACTGTCCATTCCGCTTCTGTGAAAATGTAAGTTTTTCAATAATAATGTACGTTAATTTAAAACCTGATTCAAGGCGATGGAATTAGAGTTGGTGTATTTTGACCTTAGGTCAAAAGTCAAAAGGTCATGCTTTTGCAGGTACTTAAGGCAAGGCTTCCAGGTGCGGATTCTGAAGGTCACGGAGGTTGCTGCCTACAAGAATCAGATCCAATCGTGTGGCGACCTGGTGTGAAATCCCTCTGGATATTTGAGGGAATACCCGGATAATGGATGTCCGGGCACGGACAGGTCCGGACGCATGAAGGCCGGCGAGGACACATCAAATGATGCCGAACCGCTCCAGATATTTCCTGACAATGAGTGTCCGGCACCCTTCCAGAACTTTCTTCACATTGTTCGTGTCCACTGCGCATGTGTAGAAGCAGGCGCACGAGTGGCTCTGGTGCCACTCCCTGTTGTGGTGCTGCAGGGTCTTGTTGAGTTCCAGGGTCCCGCCCACGATTTTCTGAAAGGAAAAAAAGCTGAGTTGGCAATTTTAATGTTAAATAAGGGGACTCAGTTGTACGTAGTAGCTCAGTCACCCAATGCTGGCCAGAATGTATAGGAGCACAAGTATTCAGATCAGACAGACACTACAGTGAGTTAAAATACGTAGTTGGTGCGAGGAATGTGGTGTTGGGGGCGTGTGGTGTTGGGGGCGTGTGGTGTTGGGGGCGTGTGGTGTTGGGGGCGTGTGGTGTTGGGGGCGTGTGGTGTTGGGGGCGTGTGGTGTTGGGGGCGTGTGGTGTTGGGGGCGTGTGGTGACTGAGTGCGTGGGGCGTTGGGTACGTGTGGTGACTAGGTCCGTGTGTTACGTGTGGTACTGAACACAGGGTACTTTAAGATCAGAGAAACTAAAACTACATTTGCCTCATAAATATGCAGATCTACAAACATTTTAATATGGCCTACATCTCTTTAGCATTGTTCTTAAATAATTACAAATGCATGTATTGAATAAATAAAGAGTAACTAAACCAAAATTGCAATTAATAATTTACCTGTCACATGCAACTGGAGGCATGTTAAAACTTGGGTAATTAAGTATTAATTAAAATTGCAATATTACAGGTAATCTTAGTGCCAGGTGGAATTACTGCGCACACATAAGCAATGCACGTGGGTTTTTAATTAAGGAGATAATCCAATGGTTTAGCATGTTCATTAAAAGCATACCCTAAACGTACACTTTGATTGTTAATGAAAATCATAGCCACGATTTAGCATGTAGATCCAAAACCTTATCATGTCAACGTGGGATGGTTTCGTAACTTTAAGGGACTTAAGAGATTTAACCGAGAATGTATGGGACGTTCAGATAGGCTAACATTAAGGGATGCAGTTGTTTGAGGCCTAGCTACACACACGGGGGACATTACACACATGTTACTGTAAACATCTATTTGTTTTTAACTCGCACAGAGCAGTTACTAGATTCGTGATGTCACTAGGGTACCTTGTCACATTTGATGGTCAGTGGGCTCTAGTCAGGAGTTGGACGAACTTGCCCGAAGACAGCTTGTCCAGTGTTTCTTCAACTTATTATTTCGTGGGGGGGGGGGGGGGAGGGGGGCACTTAAAATTTTCGGAGGGGGGGTGCGGACTAAAATTTTCGGAGGGGGCGGACTAAAATTTCCGGGGCGGGGCGGACACTGTTAAAAGTATATATTTTCTATATAAATTCTATTTTGTTCGGCGGACGGACACTGTTAAAAGTATATATTTTCTATATGTAACGAGTCCCCGAGTCTATCCTGCCGACAACGCCAAATGTAACGAGTCTCTGGCTACCCTGCCGACAACGCCAAATGTAACCTTCCCGAGTCTAACCACTCATTCCACACAACATTGACCACAGCATAGATACTCGAAGATGCAGGTTCATTATTGATCCTTTTATTACATGAATCAAAGAATGCTTCACAATAATATAATGAATCAAGAGAGATGTTTCACAATAATAGTCTGAATCAACGGACCCCCAACAGTCCTCACTAGGCTTCATCTAACTGAATACACATGTCTAACGTCCTTCTTAACACAATACGGCTAACCCGTTCAATAACCAACTTGATACTGCCACACTGACTCACTGATCGAAAGCGAGCGAGAGAGAGAGACAGACTGCGAGCTCAGCCGTCGCCTTCCTTATTTATCCCCTTCATATCCGTAATCATATTCGGTCCTATCATACTCGTAATCGTAATCGTTGCATTACGCCGCTTCTGTTGTACAGTCCGATTTAATAAGCCATCTGCATCCTGTCACATCAAAGTTGACAGACCGTCTTTCGTATCGCTTCCCGAGATACTACGCCCTGGCTTTCTGATCGTTATCAGCCACCACCTGTGTTATTACATCAGTCGTGTCAAAGTTGACAGCGCTGTACCGCTTTCTTATGTCTGGTAACTTCCCCTAGTTACATATATAAATTCTATTTTGTTTGGGGGGCGGTAGAAACTTTGAGCGTATCCCAATGGGTAAATGCCCTGATTGGCGTTAGCCCGAATGCGGCAAATGCCCGAATGAAAGTTTTCCCGAAAAAAACTCTACCAATCATCCCAACTACGCTTATTTTAAGATGTTTTCATTATTGTGTCATAATTTGACACTGATAAGAATACTCCAAAAGTCTTTGTATCAACATTTCCGAATTCGTTTTCATTTAAAACAGAACCTTGAATGTTTGAAGTTACTGTAATGACAGATGGATGAGGGAGGGTAAATGAGATGAGAGAGGGGGTGAAAGAAAATGGAGAAGGGATTGGAAGCAGAAGCGAGAGAGTCTGAGATAGACACGGAGAGACCGTGGGATGGCGCAGAGAAAGATAGAGAAGTTAGGCATGGGATATGTAGATACTTGACTGAAATATGTCCGCAACTGCAATCGACATTTACTCCCATGATATGAAACTGAACTAATTCTCTCCAGTCACAAACAAAAAAAATTCCAAAATGTAAAACCTAACAAGTAAACTCTCATAACATGAAATTGAATAGATTTTTGTCCTATAATATAAAATTGAATAGATTGTCTCCCATCATATGAAATTGAATAGATTGTCTCCCATTAAATAAACTTATTTTCTCATTTACCGTGAACAAATACTTGATGTACACTGCCGTCTTGATAGCCTCGGGGTTGACATCAGTCCTGGAGCTTAAGCGTCCTCTCTTCCTGGTCGGAGGTTCGGGTCCGGCTGGGAGTGACTCCAAAAACTCCGTCTTTTCATTGGCTGAAGTTAAAATATCCAGTTCCAATTTTTTAAATAGTTTTTTCTTAAAAAATCAAGCCTAATATGAAAAGCTGGATGTATCAAAGCATTATTTGTTTTATGGTTGTTTTATAAAACGAACAAATTTGTTAAATTAATGGGAGAAAAACATATGTTTCTTACAATAAACAGAAGTAAACAATTATTACTTATAATACAAGAAAGTAAATACAATTCCCCCTAAATTGCCTACAATAAACATTAAATTGTTAAATACCAGTAGGCTCGAATTCATCGTAGTCGGGAAATATGCCCGGATGTTGATCCAGAAAATAGCGGATACTCCGACCTCTGGATATTTTGTCCGTGAGGATGTCGATCTTGTTTAGGAAAAGTAGGATGGAGACTGGCCGGAGAAATCTGAGGATAGAGAGGGTCACCGGAGTGGACAAGGTCACTTGTGTGTGTGGGGAGAGGGGGGGGACAAAGTCACCTGTGGGGGGCAAGTTCGCCAACGAGGGGGGGGGGGAAGGTCACCAACAGGGGGGGGGGGCGCAAGGTCACTAACGAGGGGGGAGGTCACCAACGAGAGGGGGTCACCAACGAGGGGGGGGGCAAGGTCACCGAGGGGGGGGGGGGCAAGGTCACCGAGGGGGGGGCAAGGTCACTAACGGGGGGGCAAGGTCATCAACGAGGGGGGCAAGGTCATCAACGAGGGAGGCAAGGTCACCAACGAGGGTGGCAAGGTCACCAACGAGGGAGGAAAGGTCACCAACGAGGGAGGCAAGGTCACCAACGTGGGGGGGGGGGGGCAAATTCACTATTTCACCAGGCTATCGAAATTTACTTGATAGCAAACATTACACATTGACTACCGGTTACATGCCAGATAAATGTTACGGGATTTGAACCCCAGACCTTCGCGTTATGTCCTTCAAACCTAGCTATCATCCTACAGATCGATAGATCGATACATGTTTAAACACCCCTGGGGATGAGCAGGTGGTTATCAAACAGATCGAACATTGGGATCAGGTGTGATTTAGAACCTCAGTTTGTCGCGGGTTTCAAAGCGTCAAGGGATCAAGCCTTATTGTGAATGAAGAAAAAAAATCAAAACCACAAAATTGGAATTGGCGTAGCGTGGGAGAGGGGTGGGTGGGGGGGTGTCCTTCAGTGGCTATTGAAGGTGGCCAGCAAATTGAGGGGTAAAAATTGAAGGAACAGCTGGGGTCTTTCCATTCTTTGAGTCAGGTCCTTGATTGAAGATTATTGATGTGTGGGGAGGGGGGGGGGGGTGGCGGGGTGGATTTATCTTGAGTGACATGTGATATGGGTGTGGCAAACATCGCTGGGATGGGGTGGGGTGATATAGGGTAGAGGTGGATATTAAGGGAAGGAGGTTGAGAGAGGAAGGGAGGTGGAGAGAGGAAGGGAGGTTGAGAGAGGAAGGGAGGTGGAGAGAGGAAGGGAGGTGGAGAGAGGAAGGGAGGTGGAGAGAGGAAGGGAGGTGGAGAGAGGAAGGGAGGTGGAGAGAGGAAGGGAGGTGGAGAGAGGAAGGGAGGTGGAGAGAGGAAGGGAGGTGGAGAGAGGAAGGGAGGTGGAGAGAGGAAGGGAGGTGGAGAGAGGAAGGGAGGTGGAGAGAGGAAGGGAGGTGGAGAGAGGAAGGGAGGTGGAGAGAGGAAGGGAGGTGGAGAGAGGAAGGGAGGTGGAGAGAGGAAGGGAGGTGGAGAGAGGAAGGGAGGTGGAGAGAGGAAGGGAGGTGGAGAGAGGAAGGGAGGTGGAGAGAGGAAGGGAGGTGGAGAGAGGAAGGGAGGTGGAGAGAGGAAGGGAGGTGGAGAGAGGAAGGGAGGTGGAGAGAGGAAGGGAGGTGGAGAGAGGAAGGGAGGTGGAGAGACGAAGGGGGGTGGAGAGAGAAAGGGAGGTGGAGAGAGGAAGGGAGGTGGAGAGAGGAAGGGGGGTGGAGAGAGAAAGGGAGGTGGAGAGAGGAAGGGAGATGGAGAGAGGAAGGGAGGTGGAGAGAGGAAGGGAGGTGGAGAGAGGAAGGGAGGTGGAGAGAGGAAGGGAGGTGGAGAGAGGAAGGGAGGTGGAGAGAGGAAGGGAGGTGGAGAGACGAAGGGGGGTGGAGAGAGAAAGGGAGGTGGAGAGAGGAAGGGAGGTGGAGAGAGGAAGGGGGGTGGAGAGAGAAAGGGAGGTGGAGAGAGGAATGGAGGTGGAGAGAGGAATGGAGATGGAGAGAGGAAGGGAGGTGGAGAGAGGAAGGGAGGTGGAGAGAGGAAGGTGGAGAGAGGAAGGGAGGTGGAGAGAGGAAGGGAGGTGGAGAGAGGAAGGGAGGTGGAGAGAGGAAGGGAGGTGGAGAGAGGAAGGGAGGTGGAGAGAGGAAGGGAGGTGGAGAGAGGAAGGGAGGTGGAGAGAGGAAGGGAGGTGGAGAGAGGAAGGGAGGTGGAGAGAGGAAGGGAGGTGGAGAGAGGAAGGGAGGTGGAGAGAGGAAGGGAGGTGGAGAGAGGAAGGGAGGTGGAGAGAGGAAGGGAGGTGGAGAGAGGAAGGGAGGTGGAGAGAGGAAGGGAGGTGGAGAGAGGAAGGGAGGTGGAGAGAGGAAGGGAGGTGGAGAGAGGAAGGGAGGTGGAGAGAGGAAGGGAGGTGGAGAGAGGAAGGGAGGTGGAGAGAGGAAGGGAGGTGGAGAGAGGAAGGGGGGTGGAGAGAGAAAGGGGGCGGAGAGAGAAAGGGAGACTTAAAGGGAGATAAAAAGGAAGTAGAGAGTAATGGCGATGGAGAGAGAACTGGGGAGGGAGAAATAAAAGATGATTGGGCTTAGAACGGGAGTTTGGGGGGGGGGGGGGGAGTTTAAAAATCACAACTTGCCTATCAGGATAAGACCCATATGAGCTCCATACAATAATCTGCCTAGTGCAAAAACTCCAAACATATAATGCACACAAAATTCAAACAAAAATACGCCAAATATACCATGCATACCAGGTCCTCATTAACCCGTTGAACCACCCCCCCCCCCTCACCTGTTGTTCCAGACCTGTTCAAAGATCTGCAGGGACTCCATCAGACGGTTCTTGCTCTGGTCCTCTCTCAGGGTCAGGTCAAAGCTCGAGGTGTCGCTCAGAAACAAGATGGCCACCACGTTGTCGAAGACTTGGATCCACTTTTTTCTCTCACCTCGTTGGCCACCGACATCATACACACTGCACACACAGACAGACAGACAGACAATATAAACAATATAACACAGAGACCAAGCCCACAGACAGACAAGATAAACAATATAACACAGAGACAAAGCCCACAGACAGACTGACCAAGCCCACAGTCAGACACACATACACACAGACACACACGCAGATAGACAAGATAAACAATATAACACAGACCAAGCCCACAGACAGACCAAGCCCACAGACAGACCAAGCCCACAGACAGACCAAGCCCACAGACAGACCAAGCCCACAGACAGACCAAGCCCACAGACAGACCAAGCCCACACACAGACCAAGCCCACACACAGACCAAGCCCACACACAGACCAAGCCCACAGACAGACCAAGCCCACACACAGACCAAGCCCACACACAGACCAAGCCCACAGACAGACCAAGCCCACAGACAGACCAAGCCCACAGACAGACAGACCAAGCCCACAGACAGACAGACTAAGCCCACAGACCGACAGACCAAGCCCACAGACAGACAAAGCCCACAGACAGACAAAGCCCACAGACAGACAAAGCCCACAGACAGACAAAGCCCACAGACAGACAAAGCCCACAGACAGTCCAAGCCCACAGACAGACAAAGCCCACAGAAGTACAGACCAAGCCCACAGACAGACCAAGCCCACAGAAGTACAGACCAAGCCCACAGACAGACCAAGCCCACAGACAGACCAAGCCCACAGAAGTACAGACCAAGCCCACAGACAGACCAAGCCCACAGAAGTACAGACCAAGCCCACAGAAGAACAGACCAAGCCCATAGAAGTACAGACCAAGCCCATAGAAGTACAGACCAAGCCCATAGAAGTACAGACCAAGCCCACAGACAGACAGACCAAGCCCACAGACAGACAGACCAAGCCCACAGACAAACAGACCAAGCCCACAGATAGACAACAGACAGACCAAACGACCAGACAGACAGACCAAGCCCACAGACACCAAGCCCACAGTCAGACAAACACACACACAGACACACACGCAGACGGATAACTTTACACCTCACCAAAATTTGACCATGTGATTCCCGTCAGCCACCTGGAACTCTATGTGTTGTATGTTGGTCGTGATTGCACGCGCCCTGAGAATATCCTGAACACAAGTTGTCAATCGATCGATTGTGTAAATTAATTAATTTTTATTTAATACATCTCATTAAAATCAAATGTATAAAGGCAGCTCAAGTGTTAAATCCTTCGGCTGAATCTGTTTTGATAGATATTTTATTATCCCTAGTGTATTGTACATATTGATTACAAGATGTACAACAAAGGGAGGTAATCGAGTTAATTTAACATACCTGATCTGAAGGGACGTAGTTCGCTCGCCTGATATCGTCAATTTTATCCAAAAAACTGGAAAGGTAAAAAAAATAAATAAACAGATTGCACAAAAACTATGATCAACAGGAACAATATGCTTCTTTTTTTACTTCTACATTTAATAATTGACAACCACACAACTAAAATCTATAGCTTATAATTGTCCTAAATGTTTTTAATTTATTCTATATTTAGTACTGTATAACACAAGTGAAATGGTTTCAAATTATTTTATGTTTGTTGTATATAGTCACGACTAGTTGAGGGCTAGCATGGTAGAGGAAACATGAGCAGGGCAGAGCTGACCCCCCCCCCCCGGGTATAGCAGACCCCCACTGACATACATCAGACCCCACTAACATACATCAGACCCCACTAACATACATCAGACCCCACTAACATAGACCCCACTAACATACATCAGACCCCACTAACATAGACCCCACTAACATACATCAGACCCCACTAACATAGACCCCACTAACATACATCAGACCCCACTAACATACATCAGACCCCCACTGACATAGACCCCCACTAACATACAGCAGACCCCCACTAACATACAGCAGACCCCCACTAACATAGACCCCCACTAACATACAGCAGACCCCACTAACATAGACCCCCACTAACATACAGCAGACCCCCACTAACATAGACCCCCACTAACATAGACCCCCACTAACATAGACCCCACTAACATAGACCCCCACTAACATACAGCAGACCCCACTAACATACAGCAGACCCCCACTAACATAGACCCCCACTAACATACAGCAGACCCCCACTAACATAGACCCCCACTAACATACAGCAGACCCCCACTAACATACAGCAGACCCCCACCAACATACAGCAGACCCCCACTAACATAGACCCCCACTAACATACAGCAGACCCCCACCAACATACAGCAGACCCCCACTAACATAGACCCCCACTAACATACAGCAGACCCCCACTAACATACAGCAGACCCCCACAAACATACAGCTGACCCCCACTAACATGACCCCACTAACATACAGCAGACCCCACTAACACAGCAGACCCCCACTAACATAGACCCCCACTAACATACAGCAGACCCCCACTAACATAGACCCCCACTAACAGACAGCAGACCCCATTAACATAGACCCCACTAACATACAGCACACCCCTACTAACATACAGCAGACCCCCACTAACATACAGCAGACCCCACTAACATACAGCAGACCCACACTAACATACAGCAGACCTCCACTAACATAGACCCCACTAACATACAGCAGACCCCCACTAACATAGACCCCACTAACATACAGCAGACCCCCACTAACATACAGCAGACCCCCACTAACATACAGCAGACCCCCACTAACATAGACCCCCACTAACATACAGCAGACCCCCACTAACATAGACCCCCACTAACATACAGCAGACCCCACTAACATACAGCAGACCCCCACTAACATAGACCCCCACTAACATACAGCAGACCCCCACTAACATACAGCAGACCCCCACTAACATACAGCTGACCCCCACTAACATGACCCCACTAACATACAGCAGACCCCACTAACACAGCAGGCCCCCACTAACATAGACCCCCACTAACATACAGCAGACCCCCACTAACATAGACCCCCACTAACATACAGCAGACCCCACTAACATAGACCCCACTAACGTACAGCACACCCCTACTAACATACAGCAGACCCCCACTAACATACAGCAGACCCCACTAACATACAGCAGACCTCCACTAACATAGACCCCACTAACATACAGCAGACCCCGACTAACATAGACCCCACTAACATACAGCAGACCCCCACTAACATACAGCAGACCCCCACTAACATACAGCAGACCCCCACTAACATAGACCCCCACTAACATACAGCAGACCCCCACTAACATACAGCAGACCCCCACTAACATAGACCCCACTAACATACAGCAGCCCCCCACTAACATAGACCCCACTAACATACAGCAGACCCCTACTAACATAGACCCCCACTAACATACAGCAGACCCCTACTAACATAGACCCCACTAACATACAGCAGACCCCCACTAACATAGACCCCACCAACATACAGCAGACCCCCACTAACATACAGCAGACCCCCACTAACATACAGCAGACCCCCACTAACATAGACCCCCACTAACATACAGCAGACCCCACTAACATACAGCAGACCCCACTAACATACAGCAGACCCCTACTAACATACAGCAGACCCCTACTAACATACAGCAGACCCCTACTAACATACAGCAGACCCCACTAACATAGACCCCACTAACATACAGCAGACCCCACTAACATACAGCAGACCCCCACTAACATACAGCAGACCCCCACTAACATAGACCCCCACTAACATAGACCCCACTAACATAGACCCCACTAACATACAGCAGACCCCCACTAACATAGACCCCCACTAACATAGACCCCCACTAACATAGACCCCCACTAACATAGACCCCACTAACATAGACCCCACTAACATACAGCAGACCCCTACTAACATACAGCAGACCCCCACTAACATAGACCCCCACTAACATACAGCAGACCCCCACTAACATAGACCCCCACTAACATACAGCAGACCCCCACTAACATAGACCCCACTAACATACAGCAGACCCCCACTAACATAGACCCCACTAACATACAGCTGACCCCCACTAACATACAGCAGACCCCCACTAACATACAGCAGACCCCCACTAACATACAGCTGACCCCCACTAACATAGACCCCCACTAACATACATCAGACCCCCACTAACATAGACCCCCACTAACATACAGCAGACCCCCACTAACATAGACCCCCACTAACATAGACCCCCACTAACATAGACCCCCACTAACATACAGCAGACCCCCACTAACATACAGCTGACCCCCACTAACATACAGCTGACCCCCACTAACATAGACCCCCACTAACATAGACCCCCACTAACATACATCTGGACCCCACTAACATAGACCCCCACTAACATACATCAGACCCCCACTAACATAGACCCCCACTAACATACATCAGACCCCCACTAACATAGACCCCCACTAACATAGACCCCCACTAACATACAGCAGACCCCCACTAACATACAGCTGACCCCCACTAACATAGACCCCACTAACATAGACCCCCACTAACATACAGCAGACCCCCACTAACATAGACCCCCACTAACATACAGCAGACCCCCACTAACATACAGCAGTTCCCCTACTAACATACAGCAGACCCCCACTAACATACAGCAGACCCCACTAACATACAGCAGACCCCCACTAACATAGACCCCACTAACATACAGCAGACCCCCACTAACATAGACCCCACTAACATACAGCATACCCCCACTAACATAGACCCCACTAACATACAGCAGACCCCCACTAACATACAGCAGACCCCCACTAACATACAGCAGACCCCCACTAACATAGACCCCAACTAACATACAGCTGACCCACACCAACATACAGCAGACCCCCACTAACATACAGCAGACCCCCACTAACATACAGCAGACCCCCACTAACATAGACCCCCACTAACATAGACCCCCACTAACATACAGCAGACCCCACTAACATACAGCAGACCCCCACTAACATAGACCCCCACTAACATACAGCAGACCCCCACTAACATACAGCAGACCCCCACTAACATAGACCCCCACTAACATACAGCAGACCCCACTAACATAGACCCCCACTAACATACATCAGACCCCCACTAACATAGACCCCCACTAACATACAGCAGACCCCCACTAACATAGACCCCCACTAACATACATCAGACCCCCACTAACATAGACCCCCACTAACATACAGCAGACCCCCACTAACATACAGCTGACCCCCACTAACATAGACCCCCACTAACATAGACCCCCACTAACATACATCAGACCCCCACTAACATAGACCCCCACTAACATACAGCAGACCCCCACTAACATAGACCCCCACTAACATACATCAGACCCCCACTAACATAGACCCCCACTAACATAGACCCCCACTATCATACAGCAGACCCCCACTAACATACAGCTGACCCCCACTAACATAGACCCCCAATAACATAGACCCCCACTAACATACATCTGACCCCCACTAACATAGACCCCCACTAACATACATCAGACCCCCACTAACATAGACCCCCACTAACATACATCAGACCCCCACTAACATAGACCCCCACTAACATAGACCCCCACTAACATACAGCAGACCCCCACTAACATACAGCAGACCCCCACTAACATACAGCTGACCCCCACTAACATAGACCCCCACTAACATACAGCAGACCCCCACTAACATAGACCCACACTAACATACAGCAGACCCCCACTAACATACAGCAGACCCCCCACTAACATACAGCAGACCCCCACTAACATACAGCAGACCCCACTAACATACAGCAGACCCCCACTAATATAGACCCTACTAACATACAGCAGACCCCCACTAACATAGACCCCACTAACATACAGCATACCCCCCACTAACATAGACCCCACTAACATACAGCAGACCCCCACTAACATACAGCAGACCTCCACTAACATAGACCCCCACTAACATAGACCCCACTAACATACAGCAGACCGCCACTAACATACAGCAGACCCCCACTAACATACAGCAGACCCCCACTAACATACAGCAGACCCCCACTAACATACAGCAGACCCCCACTAACATAGACCCCCACTAACATACAGCTGACCCCCACCAACATACAGCAGCCCCCCACTAACATACAGCAGACCCCCACTAACATACAGCAGACCCCCACTAACATACAGCAGACCCCCACTAACATACAGCAGACCCCCACTAACATAGACCCCCACTAACATACAGCAGACCCCACTAACATACAGCAGACCCCCACTAACATAGACCCCAACTAACATACAGCAGACCCCCACTAACATACAGCAGACCCCCACTAACATAGACC